GTGTGTGTGTGTGTGTGTGTGTGTGTGTGTGTGTGTGTGTGTGTGTGGGAGGGGTGGGATACAAGTTCAAGTCCTCGTATTCTGCCCACTCTGTCATAAAATGCAGGCATGACACTTAAGGCTTATTTGCACAGGATTAGTTTTACCTCAGGACCACATGTAATCAATAAATCACTCCCCAACATCTGCTTTTTATGTGGCGCATTCGCACGGGATAACCAAAGCCTGAGATTTAGCTGAAACTTACGGACATCTTCCGGTTATGATGTTAAAACGTTGTCACGAACGGGCCGGTCTCAGGCTTTGATGAGGTTTTACGAATCTGCACAAACAATATAAACGTGTGTTAATCTACTTGTTGAGGAGGAGGCAGGTCCGACCTCATTTTCATTTATCAGCTTTATTTAGCTTCGTGTCTTTCTCTTTCTACTGAAGACACTGGACGATAAAAAACTCAACTCCGGTGCTCTTCACTGACCCCTCCCTGTCTATTTTCTCTTGAAAATCCATTTTAACCGTTCAAAATCATGTTTTTAGATTGTTTAAAGCAGCTAAGTTGAGAAGCTAAGCTACAAGCTAAGCTAACAGGCCAACCTCAGGAAAAACACCTCTGTCTTGTTGAAGCTCTAAATTTCACGGTTGAAACCTGTGCCTTTGTGTAAAAAGTTGTTTTTCTCTGCTAAAAGAAGCTGAGAACTTGTTTACTGATTTTATATTAAAAGCTTTGTGTGAAAAATGCTTTGCTAAAGAACTGAAACCAAACCGAGCGTCCGCCATTTTGAGAACTGAAGAGAGACAGCCCATGTCACATCAAGGGGCCTCCCTCCCATTTTTCTTAAAGAGACACGCTGCTCGCTCCCTCACTATCTATCCTTCGGTTCAAACAGTCTAATACTGCCATATGGTGATCGAAAAAAGGTACTACACACAAAACGAATGAACAAACATTTCTTCTTAAATTTGACAATAATTACTAATTATTGTCAAATTTCAAACAATATTATTGCAATAATTTCTGAGACAGTTAATCGCCCAACAAAATTTGTTATCGTGGCAGGCCTAGACGACTCTTAAAAATGCGTTAACTAAACAAAACAGTCTCAATTTATGTCCTGTCAGCTGACCTGATTATTTATTAATCATTTATCTCGTAGTATTTCTAAAACTTTCTCACAAATGTATTGAGTATAAAAAAAGGTAATAATAAACTTTTTTCCAATTCATAAAAAGTTGTTGTCCTTGCTTTACCATCTTTTGAAATGAAAGCTGTTGTCCTTACAGGGCACTTGCTTTTATTTAGAATTTTTGATTTTTACTTTTAATATTGGTAAAAAAAAAAAAAAAAAATTACTAATAAAAAAAATAAAATCTATACATTATACTTTTATTTTTTATTCTGAATTATTAATATTTCAAAAATATTAGATTTTAAATATCTGTCTTTTATTGTCTATACTAATCCAAAAAGCTATGAAATACTAAAGAATCCAACCTCACAAATAATCAGGCCTAACGAATTTAAATATGAAATTGTAAAAGAATATCATTATTATTAATAATAATAATAATAATAATAATAATAATAAATAAAGACAAAACATTAAAACGATTTTGTCAAAAAATGTAAACACTATAAACTTTGGTTATTCAGTTCAGATGGAAAATTTTGTACAAAAGGCTAAATGACAGATAAAATCACAAGATAAGAAGCCAACGAGTTATTTTATCCTTTATTTATTTTGTAAGTGGGATTCATCATGATGCCACAGATCAAGCAACGGCAGGAAGTCAAAGAGCTGAAAACTAAACTTCATAAAGTTTAGCTCTTTGATGTCATTTAGAGAAATGAGAACAATTATGATAACACTGATGGCTTGTGTGAGCCCCAACAGTTACCTGCAACAGGTAAGATATCAATTGCTCATATCTCTTCCACAGAAGTCCACTTCAAAACATCAGAAACATCCCTTTAAACTGAATATCTCTTTGTCCTTTAAATTCAAACATCTTATGAACTGCACCTTTTCTAATGTGTGATGATCGTACAAAGGATGCAAAGAATGCAAAGAATGTTCGGAGTAGCCAGATCACCCCCCCCCCCCCCCCCCCCCCCACACACACACACACGGCCTCCAACATCAGCAGAAGTCAAGCAGC